ATCTTTATCAATTTGCAGCAAGCCATTTTTGAAGGAAAGATCTTCAGATGACTCTTCACATGCTAGTGCTATTATTAACCTTCTCACTGAGCTAGGTAGGAATACAACATTTTTATGAAAGTAGAGTGTAAGCGAGATATTTGCAGCAAACAGCAAAAAGCAGTGGTTAGGTCTGCTATTGCTCACCTTTCTAAAAGTCTCTACATAGAGATTTTGTTGGAAAGTAGCTATTGTAAATAAAGACTTTGTAATAGATTATGGAAATTATTTTCACTTTGAGGTACAAACAGCTGAAAGGCAGTAAGTTGCTGTTTTCCATTTGTTGCAAAGATCATGCTTACCCTGACTGCTACTCTTCTGATTGCTCCAGAATTCAAATGTGGAATTTAAAAAATTCTTGCTTCAATTCTGTTTGATTTCAGGGCACACAATGAAAATAAACAATGTTACTGCTCAGCTTCAGTTAGGAGAGTCGTTGTTAAGGTTTTACACTGACCAGTCATTAGAGAACCAAAGTTTTGAAGGTAAAGTTTTACATTTTTTTCAGATATGCTATTTAACGAATAGATTCTATGCTGCTGTGCTCTGTTTGGTCCTATATTGCAGATGATGATGTCAAAATCTGTCTCTGATGAGGTCATCACATTTTGAAAACATACATGTTTGGTCTCCTTAATTTATTGCTATACATTTTTTGTATTATATGTGAGTAATTAATCATTTTCAAGGTTAATGAATCTGCAAATGTTTTACAACTGTTTCTGAACGATAGGCTACCAAGCATCATCACTGTCTTACAACATAACTTTGGTGGAAAGAAGTGGAGTGGCCAGAGCACTTGTTGAGGTCAGATGCCTTTCATTTTTCTTTACTTTGTCAATGAAAATCATATATCATTTGAAACTGTTCTCAAAGTCCTAGTAAGGGCTGCAGAAATATTTTGATAACATTTTGTTACATTCTCAGAGTTTGGAGCAAGTTGAGGACCTGAATGCGAGACTTGAAATCATGAAAGTGCTGCAGTGTTATTCAACTTCAGGTATTTTTTTAATTATATTATTGTCGTATTGTTCAACGAAAAATTAGTTATGGAGGGCTGTTTATTACTGCCTTTAACCCTTTAACCCTTTCACTCCCAAGATCCAATTAGTAATTCTCCTTACTATCTGCTATACAATTCTTATGATGTTAGTTCAGAGAATTTGGTATTGGATCAACTAATAATCCCATAATTCATATTCTTCTCTATTCTCATCACCTACCTGCTTGATATTGTATTGATATTGTTAGGAGAAATTCTGTCTTGGTCACTTATGGGAGTGAAATGGTTAAATCCCAATGTCTGATTGTTAGTTCTTTCCTCTAGCTGCTGCAGACTTCCTTGTAAATTAGTTACAAGAATTTTGTTGTTAGATCAAGACACCAACGTCTATTGATAAGTTTGAGTATTCTCATTACCTGTTAGCTGGATATTGTATGGTCATAATAGCAAGAAGTTACATGTCAATCACTTGTGGGAGTTAAGGGTTAAGACCGCTTCCCACCATCTGTTTAACCAGTGAGAAGGCTCTGGTGTTTGGATTTTGACTGACTTCTACTGTTTGGGCACAGCTGTCTGTTACACCACTGGCAGCTTTTGATGGAAAAAGTCATCAAAATGCAGGATGTTAAGTTATTAGTGGGAGTTGCTTCCCCAGAACTACACAAGTAACAAATCACTTTTGTAGAACCTGAATATTTTGTTGTTTTTGTTTTTGTTCCATTTGGCTCTTTTAACCCCAGATTTTGGGATGGCAGCCCACTATAATATTGTTGAAGAATTTAAATGACTATTTTTAGAATAAATGAGTTATCTCTCAGAAGTGGGGCATTATGTAGTGTAAATGAGATCATTCCTCCTTTTGTTTATAGCATTGAATTGTGATGATATGCTGTCAGTTGGTGCAGCTGGTTTGTTGTGCAGTGGAATCAATATCCCAGATCCATCTGATAGGTAATATGACCATTTTTTCTTAGAAACAGTTGTTAATAAATGTTGTTTGGTTAGTTCCCTTTGTTTTAACCCTGTGAACAAAATTATTTTTGCAAAAAAAATATTTTAGCTGATGCATTGTTTTCTGTTGTCACAGGGTTGTTTTCCGAACTGTTGAAATTCTCTGGAATTTGCTAGAATTTGGTTCTAAACAGGAGGTAAGTTTATAAGTTACTTAAAGCACAATTGGGCACAAAGTAAAAAATTTCAAGTCCCATAGGGCATGTTCTTAGTTCATGTAGCTACATTCTTTTCAGGCATCAAAGTTCCCATATTATTCCAGCCTGTTATATTCACACAACTTCCCCTTTCCTCAAAAGAAGTTAGGTTAGATGTAGTGATGGTATGATAATGGAATATCTATATTTCTTTTTAGGTTGTGCGTCAGCTCAATTGCAAAGAGTGCATAAGGTATGTAAAACCATGCTACATAAGTTATAATGTGCATGGGATGTTGGTGTAATTACAACTCAAAGTTATATTTGGTATTGCTATGTTTGCATGTTTATGATTGGTTCGACCTCAAAACCTTAATTTCTTCTCATCTCTGATGCTCTGTTTGAATTGTTTTTGCAGTGCATTGAGAGATGCCTTTGTTAGGCAGATTAAGGATGGCTACAGTCTTGCTGATAAACAGCTGAGGTAAACAGATCTGTCTCCTTAGTCTATACACAATAAGGAAAAATGAATTTAAAGTTAGCTTATGAGCCAGAACACCCATCTTCTCAGAGCTCATACAGGTGTCTACAGAATGAAGTGACAAGGAGTATGCCTATTCCCCCCTATAATGGGATGCCAAGTTATCACAAAGGTCACTGCAAATGTTATCCTGGACTA